TTAGTTTGATTCAGATTTATGAAAGAGACGAAATTTAATAAGTAAAGCAAAGTAGAATTCTTATTTGGAAAGGAAAGGGGAAAGTTTTCCTATTGTACTAGGAGTCTTTACGTTGTTCCATCACAAGTTGGAAAGAAATAAAATTTATTAGAATGTGCACTCAATCGAGATTTTGATGCATTTTAAAATATTATAAATTCTAATGAATTTAGTGGGTTTGAATCAATTCTCACAAAGTTCATAAAAATCTCATTAAAATAGTTTTTTTTAAAAACTTTATTATATTAAATTTTAAGCTTGAAATTCTTCCAAATCTTTTAAAATCCCTATATTAATGAAATCAAATCTAAAAGAATTTTTAAAAAACATCAAAATCTTATTTGAGGACTGTAAAAGGAAAATGACTTCATAAACAATTGTTTATTAGAATATTGCAATTAATAATTTTTGTTTATTTTTATAATATTGAATGAACCAAGTCACGAATTTTTTAATAAAATTTTCAATATTTTATTAAATCGTTAAAATTAATTTTATTGATTTGACATTGAAGTTTCGGAAAAGAAGAAAATAATAAAATCTTATACATTAATCATTTAAAGAAAAATATTTAATAAAAAATTGATAATTAAGGACTTGTTTGGAACGATTTTGAGAATTGATTTTATGACCGTTAGGAGAAAAATTGGGACCATCTATGAGAGAAGAAATCAAACTTTAATGTTGGATTAATAAAATAACGGTCAAAAAATCAATTTTCGGAGGATGAAAAATCACTACCAAACACCCCCTAAAAATATAGTACGCAAAACGTCATATAATATAATATATATGCTCCGTTTGGCCCCCGTTCTCATGCTCATTCTTTTTCTCTATCCTATTTTTAACAACACAATTTTTCATAAAATAATATTATACGTAAATCGAAAACTTTTCATTTCTTTTCAACCACACAATTTTCAAAAAAAACACTACTTCCACCATTAAAATTTGAAAAGAATGGAGGCTAAACGGAGGTATAAGGTGCCAATTGTTATTTGAATTAAGAATAATGCTGTCTATTTAGCTATTTATGATGACATATTTGTGAACTTTTCAACAAATGGTGAATTTTTTTTTATCATTATGCAAAATTTATGTAAATTTTATATTTATAATAATTTGTAAAATTCCCTATTTAAATATGAAGAGAGAATAGAAGGTTTGAACGTTGAGCATAATGTTAAAATTTATGATGTAAAGAAAAAATGGTATTTTAATTGACCTTAATAAGAAAACGCATGGACCCATAAAAGTAAAAACTAATTTGAAGAACTAATGCATTTTCTAAAAGGAAAGTACTACTTCTATAATTTAATTTTCGAGTTTCTTCTATAGCAATATATAAAGTTCAATAAGAAGAAGTTGTCCTATAGTACTTGGTTTTTGCAGAGCTGACACCTTACGAAATTCATCTGCGTCAATCGTGCAGATAACCCGTCGAAAAAGAGTGGGTAAATTAATGCCTTTATTTTCCATGTTTGATTTTACTAAAAATTAAATTTTTAGTATATTTTGATAAAAATTGATGAAATATGTGATTGAAAAGCTTATTAAAATTATGGATCCTAATAAATGTGCGAAAAAATTAAATATTGACTTTAACTTACATTTTTATCAACCGTTTTAACTAAATTGAACAAAAATTGAATAATAAGGACTATGCTTGTCAGTGGCGGAGCCACGTTGAGACTTTAGGCCCAAACATTTTTTTTTTTTTTATCAACTGGGGAGGTGGAATAAAAGCATGTTTTAATTTACATGAGTTTTATTTTTAGGCCCAAACCCATGATTTTGTTTTATAGTTTTATCATCATTAAATTAATGACCAAAACACAATGTTCAACATGGGTTAAATTACGGGCGGATCCAGACCTTTAGTATTGTGGGATCAAAATTTTAAAAATAATTTTTTTAATGAACAACATAATATCAATGAAAATAAATTTATATGTATTTTGACAATTTGAAAACGTCGTATAATTACATCACTATTAATATTATTAAACAAATTTTGATACTTATAAAGTTTTGTTTATCATTTCATTGGCAAATGTTGAGCTAACATTGAGTAAATTAAATAGAATATAGAAATTAAATAAATTGAAATAAAATTCAAGTTTAGCTCAGGAAGTAAATGAAATTCAAATTTAAAGTAAATATAATTCGAAAGTAATTCAAATTGTATTTAATCCGTAACAATCCTAAAAAATTTACGTCATATTTCATATAAAACTTCTGAATGAAACGATATAAATTATATTGAAAAATTTATCGTGTAAAAATAATAATTAATTGAATTTTTTAAAAGAAAAAACGAATTAGACGTCTTTTTTGAGGCGTACGTTTGATACATATTTAACTATTTTCGATATCTGTTTGGATCATTCGATAAGAAAACGACGTAGTTTTCGAAACAAACTTTTACATGGCATAGACGATTTGTGGATTCAAATAGCACATGATCGCAAACGAATTTTTAAAGTTAGGATATTATTAAAATTCTCAAAATACTAGTTTCAAACGCCCTACTTTAACATGTCATAATTTTTGCTATAGTCGACCACTTCGCATGTCATTAATGAGTGAAAAATTATGTCATGAAATAGTATTAAGAATTCAATATTTTGACATCATTTGACATCTCGACGAGTGCATCAAAGTAGATTGTTAAAAAAAAAAAAACAGGGGCAAAATTTTGTGGGGTCATTTGACCCCATGTGGGTCCGCCCCTGGGTTAAATTATGCCCACACTTAAAAAATTTTCTAGCTCCGCCCTTGCTGCTTGTTGTACAGAATACTCAAAATGCATGGGTGGGGGTGGGGGAATTTATTTTTTATTTTTTAAATAATCATCCACTCTCCACCCACTCCCTCAAGCATGTGAGGATTCTGTACAGGCCCTGTACATCAGGCAAAATTCGAATAATAATTACTAAGATGTCAATAGGAATATTCGTATTACAGAACATGATAACGTACATTACAAGAAATTTATACTTTCCTACAAATTTTCCATTGACAAATTGAGATTTATAGGAGGAGTTCACTTTTTTCCCACAAAAATGAGTTTTTGTAGGGCTATAATTTGCTTCAAAATTTTCAATATTAGAGAATTTGTGGTTGGATTGGAATGGGGAGAAGTGGGTTAAAAGACATCTATTTTTCACAATGAAGCCAAATTTAAAGAAAGAATTCCTTCGATTTTTAAAATTAGTAAAATATCCAAATGGCTATGCTGCCAAAATTTCAAGAAATGTGGTAGTTGAATCTGAAAAAAAAATTGGATTGAAGAGCCATGATTATAATGTATTATTCCAACGACTACTTTCTGTTGGTATTCGAAAATATTTACCAAATGAAGTGGTTGAGCCAATTGTCCAGTTATCCAATTTCTTTCAACAATTATGTGCGAAAAAGTTATGTATGGAGGACATTAAAAGGTTGGAGGATGATATTGTGTATATATTGTGCAAGTTTGAACAAATTTTTCCACTGGCTTTCTTTGTTTCCATGATTCATCTGCTGGTACATTTACCTGAAGAGGCAAGACTTGCAAGTCCTGTGAGTTACCGGTGGATGTACCCAATAGAAAGGTACACGTTTATTAAGTGTGGTTTAACAAGTTCCATGGCCAAGTAAATAAGCATGGAAAGATGGGTTCGGTTATTAAGTGGTTTAACAAGTTCCATGGCCAATTATTGTATTAATCGCGAGGTGGAAAGGGAGTCAAAATTGTTAATTTCGCCCCTGCTAAACCCCCGTTACGTTACATTTCATTTTTCTCTTTCTTATTTTTATCTATACAATCTTCTATAAAATAATATTATACGTAAATCGAAAACTTTCCTTCTTTTTCAACCACTCATTTAAAAAAAAAAAACAAAAACAAAATCATTGTTCCACTCATTTTCATTTCGGTTTAACAAGTTCCATGGCCAATTATTGTATTAATCGCGAGGTGGAAAGGGAGTCAAAATTGTTAATTTCGCCCCTGCTAAACTCCCGTTACGTTACATTTCATTTTTCTCTTTCTTATTTTTAACTATACAATCTTCTATAAAATAATATTATACGTAAATCGAAAACTTTCCTTCTTTTTCAACCACTCATTTAAAAAAAAAAAACAAAAACAAAATCATTGTTCCACTCATTTTCATTTAAAAAAATGGGGGTCAAACAGGGGCTTTCATATACTCAAATTACATAGTTTGAAATAATATAGTCTGTCTTGTAGGGCTTCTATTCTTGTGAAATAGCTTACTGAAAAATTTATTATAATTCAATTTTCTCTAAAAACTCTTCTTATCAAACAACATTCTTTAAAAATTATCCAAACATACTCAAAACAACTTCTTAATCTCACAATCAACGTCCTAAATGACCATGAAAAAACAAACATAACCGAAAGATCTGTACATGTTCGAGAAATTGGCATGTTAGTAAACTTCAGGTGCCTCTATATTGGCTACTGGTCCTATGCTCATTGAATTCATTACTTTATAGGTTTAACGTGTTCGAAACTATGAACTCGAATGAGATTGAGACAGGAACACCAGAAGAAACTTCTGAAATAAATAAATATAAAATAAAAATGCATATCAAACAGCCGAAAGTTGCTTCTGATTTTCTATTTTATTCTTTAGTCTTGTGCTGTTCTTTGTCCAGTGAGTTAATTTGGCATACTTTAGTCTCAAGGCAGCCATTCAAATATTGAACATGGAATTCGATTGCAAGATTTCTTAAGCAATATAAAAATCTTTCTTTTCGGAAACATTAGGCCTAATTGCTTCAACTTTTCAATGTTCCTTCAAAGAATTATGACACAAAAAATCTAAAGTTGTTCCCTTCCTACGAAACATACCAAATTAAACACCTTCTCAATTTCTATCTCTTTCTCTTCTACCACGAGAAGGGAGAAGCTTGAAGCAGTCACACTGATAAGGTACAACATTTGAAGATGAACCAAGAAACCCCTTTAAATTCAGGATTTGAAAATGTAATTCAACAAGAAGATTATAAGTTTTCAATTCTATGCATAATCACAAGGGTCCACTTCCAACAATATTCGATTTAAATGGATGGAGTATGGCACCAATGTAAATAAATATAGAAAAAGCGAGTCAAACTAACTTTATTCCTCCACTCTTCTGCATCTTATCCAACTCCTCAAAGTCGGATTGTGGGGACTGGACATTACTCGCAACCTTATTTTCCACAATATTCAAATAACCCTCAAATAGCGCCATTGCCGAGCCAACAATGAGAGCCGAGCGTGAAGTGGGGCCAAGGCCTTGGCGCATATTGAGGAATCCGATGGTAGCGACTTCAAGGAGGATGGAAGTCCATGCATCATCCTTCTGCCTTACATTTATCATAGAGCTCCTGAAGACAGAAGAAAGACCACCCCAAGCGGCAGAGTAGCTAGCCCAACGGGGTGCGTACAAGCGTACAGCTTGTGAGCCCCGGATGAGGCACTCACCTTTAGGGGAGTTGTACATGCCTTTTAACATGTGAAAAGCTCACCCACAAACAATTCCAAAGCAGAAATAATTGCCAGTGTGATCCGCTAGGTGATCGAACCATGTTTTGTCACGTATCATTCTTGATTCTGCATTCAAATTAACTCTAATCAATTTGCATATAATAACTAGCAAACTAACTCAAATTAAAAACTACAGAAAATAACACAAAATCAGGAAATTGCAAAGTTTTATCAACATGTAAATGAAATTAATCTAAAAGGCAGTAAAAATCATAGACATAACTAATCTGAAATAGCAAAAAGCAGTGCGAAATAATAAACCCTGAAAATATTCTATTTAAAGATTAATAAGGAGGCTTGGGTTGGTGAAATAGATTTAGAAGTCTCCACATTTAATCTAGTTTTCAGATGTCATAGAAGATTTTTACCTATTCTGTCATTAATGATAATGGGTTAATCAATTCTAAATTCAGGCTCTATCTAAATTCACAAAAATATTAAGCAAAAAAAGGGGGGGGGGGGGGGGGGGGAAGTCAATTCTAAATTCACTCATACAATTACATTTAAAAGACAAACATTGTGTATAGTAGATAATAGAGAGACCATTACAGCAAGGAAAGGGGATTTAAGCAATGTTAAAAAATTATCAAAGTACAACCCCAATTTTTAGACTTGAACATAAAGCAGTAAATGAACAATTAAAAATACGCCACCACCAAATATACTATAAATCCTAAATTAAAATAAAAAGGAAAACAAAATAGACCATCATCTTCTCAAAACCTCAAATTTTTTAGGAGTTTCAAAACACAATAGATGGCCACATACAAAAATAATCAAGAAAATTGGAAGAATCAACAGTTAAAAATGTAAAGAAGAATGAAGAGAAAATCAAATAAATAAATAATTTTTTTAAAATAAATACATTGTCAAAAATCAAAAGAATGAATAAAATTATAAAGCACTGTTCATTTGGTGAAAGTTTTGATGTAATAATTGGAGAAGAATTTTGGTTTGGTGCAAGATTTTGTGCAAAATTTGGTGAAGTGTTGGAGATGGCCTAAGTCATGCGGGTTTGTGCTTGCGCTTGTTGGAAAGTTGCTTCTTGACATCATCAGTTGGGAAGAATTTGGGTGCCTTCTCGGCAACTAGCTCTACGGCTACAGATTTCTTCTTGTGGGTTGGGAATTTGCCCCCATTTTTGGCCTTGATAGCCCAGAGTCAATTATTGGGGGTGGATGAGTCCATGTTCAAGGAGTTAATGTTTCAATGGCTACTGAACTTTGCACCATGTCACGACTTGCACACCGAACTTCATGAAAAGTCCCATTGGTTACTGAACTTTGCTCCATCTCACTCCATCACTCACCGAGTGGGATCCGTTAGTAGATTTGCTGACATGGCGAACGGAAAAATGAGATGTCCAGTTAAATGTCTTCAAATGGTAAGTAAATTGCCAAATCAGCTCCACATCAACAATTACCAAACACGCCTTTACCATAAATATGAAATCAAACATGCCTTCGTTCTCACAAAAGATAAATTCATCAATTTGCAGTGGAATCAAAATCCCCAAAATGGAGCCCCAAACCCTAAGGCTAACCCATCGATTTCGCCCAAAATTTCAACCAGCGTCTGCACTGAAAGTGTGATCTAAATTGCACTGAATATTTGGTTTGTGGTTGAGTAACTGATATGGAGTTGGTTTTGGTCATTGATGCACAATTTTAGTCTCGAGGAGTTCTGATAATGGGTATTTTAGGCTAGATGATCATGACAATTGAGCATTTCAATTGAAGATTATCTCTGATGGCCTTCAATATGGTTCAACAGGCTATTCATAAGTATTTATGCTGATATGGGCAAAGTTTGAAAAAGGCCCTGTTAGTAGTTGGCGGCTTAGGATTTTGATGTCCACAAACTTTGTTATATAGAAATTTGGAGCACAATTGGCCATTAAATTTGACTCCTAGTCGGGCAGTCTCAACTGGGACGTATAAAGAAGCAACGGTTGTAGAATAGGTAAAAAGAGAAAGAGGTTGACAAATTAACATGACATGTTGATTGAGTTGATTTGGACCTTTCAGATGTAGGAATGAACTGAAAATAATCTATTATTTTAGTAGGAATTTTGCTTTCGATATAAGAGAATTTACCTTCCAGCGTGTTAAGGAGGAAAGAATGGATTCAAGGCAAGCAATGAAAGAAGAGAGAGCCGAGTCTACAGCTTGGGTGGCTATAGAAGAACTCCATAAAATGAACAAAGAAGGCAACATGAAGAAATTGAGTTCGAGGACAAGCCTCAATATCATTGTAAACAAAGAAATTGAACCAAAGTACTGGAGTACTTGGAAGCGTATTGAAGCCAGTCTATGACATGTATGATTATGTCAAGGAATCACTTGCCAGAAAAAATAACCGGACTACCAAGAAGACTGATCAGGGAAGTGCAAAATATAGCTGTCCATGAAGAATAAACAAACCGTGAAGTTACTTATACAGCACCATAGAGGGGACGAGAGGATCTGATGATTATGTTTGGTGTTATTTTAGGTGTTTGTTATTTGTCATTTCACCAGACATTATATGTCTTGTAAGTTCAAGTGAAAATATCATTTATTATCTGGTTATGATTTCTTTAGTTTTTTGAAAGTATAATGAATGCAACATAATTCTGTAGCTATATTTAAGTCGTCAAGCAAGCAAAGATCAACATAAATGATTTTGGCATGTACACTGACAACATATTATGTATGGTTGATTGGGTATATATTCGTTCACTTTGATGTCGTGTTTTGGCCTTTTTTGCCATTAAGTTGGTGCTTTGTGACTGGAATTGGGGTCCCAAATTTCATGTAATAGGCTGCCTTGAAGGACTTTACCAGAAGAGACAAGCTTTGACAGGAGCATCTGCTTAAACATTGCGCATATTACCTTGAAGGATTTAACCAGAAGAGACAGGCTTTGACAGGGGCATCTGCTTAAACATTGTGCATACACATGATTGGCAGTTCCCAGTAGTTCATCACTTGATCATTTAAAAATACAAGATTGGTAGTTCCCAGTAGTTCTTGATCAAGGGATTTCTTAATTGGTAGGTATATGCAACAACAAATCTAATTCGTCTAATGCAAAGTGGAATGACAGTGAAAACAAAACCCATAACCAAATGGGAAACAACTCCATATGTTAGTAGGATATGCATTCATTAATCACCTCTCTACATCTACACAAAATATTAATCCATCACCATTTAGGTCATTGGTTACTTAAGTCCGGAAATGGAGTAGCAATTGGAACATTGAATATTTTCCGTGGTTGACAATGATGCAATAGCACAAGGATACATGAGAATCTAAATCTTGCAGTTATTTAACCACCATCCAAACTCAATCAATAAACCTTAATGCCATGAATCCCATTTCATCAACAGATAAATTTAAACCTATCTATTCAACGCTCCACTTCCACCACGTCAATTCTCACACAATCATCCTCACAGATGAAAAACGTACTTCAATAGGAGAACTTAACTTGAATCAAAAATCAAAATCAAAGCTAATATCATTTTAATCTAGATATTTCAATTAACAATCTATCACCAACCCATATAAACATAAAATCAGAAAACATACGTCGTTAACAAAAAAATAAATAAATAAATAAATAAAAATAGAAGAAGAAAAGAAAACAAGTCCTTACAGAAATATATTGATTTGGGTCCTTGGAGGCGAGAGTGAGGAGCACCGGTGGTCAGTGGTGGAAGGCGGCGAGACACGAGAGTGAGGGCTAGGGCACCGGGCGGCGTCGTAGAGAGATTAGAGGAGAGTGAGATCTGTGGTTTCTCTTTCTAATTGGCTGGTTTTAGGGGTTTTGGGAGATTTTAGGGTGTAATCATTACGGTCATTAAAGGTTTTAATTTGTTTCCCTTGTAATTAATGGTTCTAAAGAATTACCTTCATCACGTTCCATCACATGTTTAAAAAGAATAAAATTTATTAAGACGTGTACTAAATGGAGATTTTGATAAATTTGTAAATATTATAAATTCTAATGAATTTAGTGGATTTGAATAAATTCTCACAAAATTCATAAAATTCTCATTAAAATAGTTATTTAAAAAAAATTATTATATGAAATTTTAAGCTTGAAATTCTTCCAAATCTTTTAAAATCTCTCTACTAATAAAATCAAAATCTAAAAGAATTTTGAAAATCATCAAAATCTCATTTGAGGAGCGTAAAAGGAAAATGACTTTGTAACAATTGTTTATTAGAATATTTCTAATAATTTTTGTTTATTTTTACAATATTGAATTAGACAAGTGACGAATTTTTTAATAAAATTTCCAACATTTTATTAAATTATTAAAATTAATTTTTATTGATTTGATGTTGAAGTTTCGGAAAAGAAGAAAATAATAAAATCTTATACAATAATCATTTAAAGAAAAATATTTAATTAAAAATTGATAATTAAAAATATAGTACACAAAACGTCATATAATGTAATATACAAGATGCCAATTGTTATTTGAATTAAGAATACTTTTGTCTAGCTATTTATTATGACGTATTTGTGAATTTTTTTTATCATTATGCAAAATATATTTATAATATAAATACCGTATATTTATAATATACGGTATTTGTAAAATTCCCTATCTTGAGAAAATAAAAGGTTTGAACTTTGAACATAATGTTAAAATTTTATAATGTAAACAAAAAACGGTATTTTAATTGACTTTAATAAGAAAACGCATGAACCCATAAAATGCATACTAACAAGCTCTGCATGTATTGTCAATTCCCAAGTTCCCATGCAAGTAGTCAAAAGTGTTTCCTGTTGATAAAACTGTTGAATATTCTATTTTTTTTTTTTTTTTTTTTTACAAGGTGTCCGGACTTGCGTCCGACTAGATCCTTGTCCCTGAACCTCCGGCCCCTCAGCAGCTCAGGGCGGTAAATCGCAGGATGTGCCCTTGTTGGCTCCCAGGTTCCCACAACTCATTTGGCCTCCTTCCGCAAAGAGAGCTCTCCTCGCTGGGCGTTTGTTCAACCAAATGGCTTCCCCTCCATTTTAGCACCCAGTGTTAACTCCAGGAATCGAACTCTCCACCCTTGCTTCCAGCGTCCCAGCGAAGTGATTGTTCCACCAACTCGGATGTGCCCTGGGGGGCTGTTGAATATTCTATTTTGATTGCACAAATGATGAATAGTGTTTATTTGGCTTGCAAAGTCAACTTGCTTATGTACATTAATTACTTAGATCATCTCCAATCCCATCCCAAAATTTGTATCAAATTAAAATTCATCTTTAACCATTACACTAAAAATTGCACCACATGAACATTATTTAATCATTTTTTCATTCTTAATAATTTATCTATATGAAAAAATTATTTATTTATTTGATCTACTACTTCATAAATTATTAAATAGATAATTATGTTTCGTTAACGAAAATATTGAATTCATTAATAAATTTAATGAATGTAATACAATTAATTGAAAAATCACAACTAAGAAAATATTAAATAATAATAATAATAATAAATTCTTGAAAACAAATAATGAAAAATCTACCCATTAGCCATTTATCTGTTGCACTTCTTGACGCAGAAAGCATGGATAAACTGGAAAGTGCTTTCGAGGAGGCATAACGGTCCCTCTCCTTCCTGACAAGAAATTTCAAACCATAAACTGAAGCAAATCTTTTGCGCTGAAAATAAATTTGAAATATTTCCTTCATTATATATAAGTCGTTTGCTGTATTCGGAAAATTTCTCAAGCATTGCTCATAAAAAATATTTCAGTCGTTAAGAACATGATAATCAGGAACATGTATCAGCGAAAGAGGATATGAATTCGGCTTCTAACAAAGCTGAGCCGTAGAAAAAAAATCGAAACATAACCCAATTCTATCAATCAGTTCTTCACAAAATGTCTATTCATAGAGCCTGTTTGAGCCCCATTTTTAGAGGAGAATGTATTTGGAATAGTAGATTGATAGAGAATGTATGATCAAATGTAAGAATTTTGTCAGTACGCCAGTGCCAAGTTACTGTTTAAGATGACACCTTTTGTCTTCGTTCATATACTCTCACAGTGTCACACGCCATTCCCCATTCATTTTGTCCTGGTTCATAGCCCTCCAATTGCACCGCCGATGAGCGCAGAGTTTTAATTCAAGAAAGAGAAGTCATAAATCCCTGCTTCTTCTTCCCGAGCAAAAAAGCTTCTTTATCCTTCGTCGATGGTGGTTCACCTCTTCCTCTAAATCAAAACCTAACCCTAAAATCCAGAATTCCCAAACCCCCCTGCCATTTGCAATAATCCCTCATGTTGAAAATCCTCACCACCACATGCCGCTACGTCGTCGTTTGGGGCACAACTCCGGCCTGGACACACTGTCGAGATTGCCTCTCCAAATCTTCGGATCCTGAACTCCCTCCTAGGAAACAGCAAGTGAAATTGCTTGGATCCATCAATTACTTCGTGATTTCCAGATTTCTTCCCCAACTCCGGCACTAATATTTTGTGATAACCAAGCTGCAATTCACATAGCTAACAATCCTATCTTCCATGAAAGGACGAAACACATCGAGATTGATTGCCATTACATCCGTGATAAAGTTACTGAAGGCTCCATCAAACTTTTACCTGTCCGCACCCAGAATCAGTTAGCAGATGTTTTTACTAAAGCTTTACCTGCCAACTCTTTGTTTCCTCTACTATCCAAGATGGCCGTTACTGATCTGCATCGTCCACCTTGAAGGGGGGGTATTAGACTATTTAGCTTAGCTGGCAATAGCTGGCAATTGATTGTAGTACCGTTAGTTAGTTAGATGAAGTTAGTTAGTTAAAGTTAGTTAGTTAACTGCAGTTTAGTGAGCTGGGATATTCTGTTTGATGCTGGCATATTCTGTTAATGAACCAAGCTGTATTTATATCTGGATGTACGACATTTTTAGATGAATGAATCATTTCTTTCATTTCATAGCTTTCTTCTTCAATACCGTGGCCGAAGAGATTAATGGGCCTGCGACTGAAGAGGCTGAATCTAAGTCTTCGTCAGCTATTGTTCCCACTGTATTTAGACCTGAAGATTATTTAACTGTTAGCTTTTCTGAATTATAGCCATACATACATTATTTAATGGTTAGCTATTACGAAAAATCATTAAATTTAGATTAGCGTCTCTTTCATTTCCTACAATTGATTTTCAGATTCATCTTTATTCCAAGAGAGAAGTGTTTGAAGGTAGAGTGGCGAAGTTGGATTGGTGGTGCCTTCTAATACTTACTATTTAAAAATATTGTGTCTCTATTAATCAAGTCTAGAAAACAAGCTTTCAATCAAATCTGTTCATATTATTTTTGTCACCAATCATCATTTTCGGGCGTTAATATATATATATATATATATATATATAATATACATTCAAATTAAGCAATTCAAATAAACAATTACATATTAGAGAACACAATATAAGCCATTAATAATTATTTAATTAATTTCAATAATTATCCAAAAAAAGGGCCCAAAATAATGGCCGGCCCAGGTGCCCAGTTGACTGGGCCACCTGGGCGTTACTGTGCCCAGTTGGCCCAGTCAACTGGGTTACCTAGTTGATAGGGTACCTTCGCCCAGACGGCCTAGTCAACTGGGCCGTCTGGGCGACCGGCACGCCGTCTGCCATGGAGATCGTTGGAAAACTTCATTTCTGGCGATCTCCACTCCTTCCCAAACAATAACAAGCCAAATTCCACATTTATACAAGGATTTCTCAACACATATATATAAAATCATACTTTTTTCCAAAAATAAAAATAAAAATATGGTTTTTTTGGTATAAAAATCTTACCTTCTTCAGAAAGAAATGATCAACTGGGTCTCCTGTTTTTTCTTTTTTGTCGGTAACTGGGTCGACTGTGCTACAATACTTTTCCACTCCCCTTCTGGTTCCTTTTCCTTGCAAGGGGTAAAATTGGGTTTCTCTTGATTTTTGTTGGTTTTCACTGTTTTAAATAATTTTGCTTTTTTTTTTAACCGGTCAAAGGCCTCTTTGAAAAATTGGCCGGGTCAACCGGCTGTTGGCCACTATTTCCTCGTACTAAAATATGGCTTACCGGGTTGGATCCATTTACCTTTTGGGTCTCCATGGGTTCATTTGTTACATATGTAAGATTTGCTCAGTTTGATCAATCAAGTACTTGGATTCTCAATTAATTTACTTCATAGATATTTAATATTCCATTATTTAAATAGTATGTAACAAAAAGTCCTCACGAATGACGAAATTTTGAACAGAAGTCTTTCACTCACTTTATCAAGAGAAAAATTCCATTGTAAACACACTTTGATAAAGTGTAGATTGTATGGAATTCTCGTAAACATCAATATTGTATAAGAATCGGTGCTCTTTGTTATAAACCATTGTATAGGTCATATTAAGGTCCCGTAACGCTCAATAATGTGGATCATATTGATGTAATGTAAAAGCTCAATAGTGGGTAGTGTTGAGGTCCTGTAAAATTCAACATTGTATAATGATTGATGGTCATTATTTATAAGTTATTAAAAGTGTTGTAAAGAGTTAAATTGCACCATAAGTCAATCAATATAATGAAAAGGCCTTGCTCGTGTTGAAGAGATTGGTAATGAAGGATGTTGATATTTTTTTGGATCGAACCTCCACAATTATACCGTTTGCACCCTCTCTACCCTTTTACTTATTGTTATTTCATTTATATTAATTATTTGATCGATCTGCCTGCTTCTGTATGTTTATGATTATAATTAATTGATCAACGTATTTCTTGACTTGTTTGATTTAAGTTTATTTAAAAAAAAAATTAAAAACCAATTCACCCCTTCTTTGTTAGTTATCCGTGGGCTATCAATTCGTACAAGAGCCATGTGCTTATTTTGAAATTAAGATTCTATAATCTTGAGCAATGGCTAACCACATTTTTTAAAATCTTGAGGAGTATCATACAAATCGTCCTAATTTCTTTGATGGTCATTATAATTATTGAAATGCTAGAATAACGATATTTATTCAATCAATATATTATAATATTTGGGAGGTTGTTGAATTTAGCCTTCTATGGCACTTATGCTAAAAAAAAAACCAATGAAAAGAAGGCACAATAGGAGACGAATAACACAGTTAATCACCAATTTTTTGGAAGCACAAAGTAGTCGAATTTTCCTCTTAAATGGGCGGCTACGTTTTTCACTCTATGCAGGCACAAATCACACACAAACTGTTAGGGCTAAAAGCAACATATATAGGAATAGATTAGACTTTAATTGGACCAATAATAGAATTAAATGTGCCAAAATTTAAAGTCGTCTAATAGATAAATAGATATGAATCGTGAGTAGCATTAATTTCTTAAACTACTTAAGACAGTTCACATTGTTTTCAGGTCGAGCCTTCGGATTTGTTTGTTGATAATTAATTCATCATTGGTCGGGGAATATGAAATTATATTCCTACGTCTACATCATAGCTCAAGATTCATTAGATATCAAAAACCAACATTTACCTTAAAAGTCAAAAGGGCTAATTTAATTTAATTAAGAAAGTGTTCAACTCCATTTAGCTATGAACCTGACATCGGGGTCATTTGGCATGATTTTGAATAGTTAAAAAGAATTTTTGAGATTTAACAATTATTTTAGATCTATTAATTTGACTAATTTCATGAAAGTATTTCTTCTGGTTCAAAAAAATTATAATGCATTTCCTTAATCCATACGTTTAATAATATTTTTATGGAATAAAGAGGGGAAGGGACCGCTAGTGTGTATGAGATGACATTCGAGCATACTTAGATCAAAATTCATTTTTCCTTTGGGTTGAATACTTCGACTGGGGGTTAGGAAAGTATATTAAGAAATAAGATAGAGGAAGATTGCCTTCCAAGTTGTGTCCATGCTCTCAAGGAATGGACATTATACATTATTTCTTTTTGGTCCAAACAATTTTTAGTTATTTTGAGAATAATTTAATTTTGGAAAAAATTAATTCTTTATTTGTAAATATTCATTTTCTATAATTTTATGCTTCTGCCTTTACATATTTGGTAAAAAAAAAAAAAATAACATTGAAACAAGAAGAAAATATTCAATGCATGTAGACACTTCTTTTCCTTCGCATCTAATATAGATATTCAATTATTAATATTTTTTTTTCTATACATTAAGAGACTTGAAATCTTCAGTTAAAAAACTATATTAATTAAATTATAGTATTATCAGTATTTTAATATATATATATCATATTATTTAAACCTTGTTTTTTAAATTATACACCGGATATTCAATTTTTGATATATTTTAATAAACCAACATATGACATATTTTTAACCATATATAAAGTAAGTTAATAACTATTTAAAATGATAGAAATTAAGAAAAGACTATGTCATAAATCCTTTCAAAATTAATTCATAGTATTAGGAGATAAAATTGATGTGCAGGAAAATTTACATATTTTTGAAAATTTTAAAGTTTTACTGAATGCGACATTATTTGGGTCCGTACTTTTTTCCTCTTACGGTCAGTTGAAATACCTTGTTTTATTTACTTCATAAAAGTAAGACATTATGTTCAAACCTTCTATTTTCTCCTATTGACCTTTTTACAACAATATTTTCAAATCTTCTATTCATATAATTAGAGAAATTTACAAATACACCGTTTAATTATATTTTACATACCGCATTTTATAAATTCATATTTTATATATATTTTGCAATTTGAACAATGGTTACAAAATTCACTATTTGCTGCAAAATTTACTAACATGTCATTATAAAAGGTTGAACCCCAACCTTGAGAGCTCCTACCGTTCCGTCTCTGGAGTATCGCGATGGAAGTAAATCACTAAATGTGCCCCAACAGATAAGGGAACAAGAGTTTGTCCATACACTGTTGTCCAAAAGAGTCCAATTCCATATTTCAGGAATCGAACCCCCACACTGCGACTGTCAGCAAAGCTGAAACTACCTCACTCCCGTCCTTTACACCACTAGGTTATGCCTCGGGGGGCTTACTAACATGTCATTATAAAATAGCTAAACGAACGACAATGCCTTTAATTGAAATAACAAATTGCATCTTATATACTACGTTATTACGTTTTACATACTATATTTTTAATTATCAAATTTTCGTTAAATATTTTTTTCTTTATATTATTTTTTATAAGATTTATTATCTTCTTTACCTAAACTCCAACATCAAATCAATAAAAATTAATTTCAGTAAGTTAATAAAATACTGAAAAATCTATAAAATTCTTCTTTTGACTCTTTCAATATTGCAAAAATAAGCAAAAACTCTAAATTGCAATATTCTAATAAACAAAATTTATTCAATGAATAAAAATATTAAATGGATTAGTTGTTATTTTGTTGTTAAAAATAAATTTCTTATTAGTTTTGGGTTAGTATAAATTTGCAACTTCAACAATTGTCAAGAATGTGTGCATAATTCTCTACTTGAATTCACATCTCCTTGGTACTAAGCACATCTTGCAATTGAAGCCTTGCGTAGCATTAATAGAAAAGTCCTCAATTTTTTAATTATATATGAAATCATTTCTCGTATAAAATTTCGTCCCTATTGCTTTGGATTAAAATCCAATTAAAATTTCAATTCAAAGTTAACATTAAATTTTAATCAAATATTTCATGGGATCCATAACTTTTCAACCACACATTTAAATTTTTTTTTTTTTTTATCAAAAATTTAATTTTAATCCCCACCAAATACCCTTTATTTCTTTTCAACTTGCAAAGAAAAAAAGGAAAAAGACCCGTAGTACAGTGGGGCAACTTTTCCTTTTTCTTTCCAAATTAGAATTCTACTTAACTTTTCCTAATAAAATTCTTCTCTTTCAATCCAACTAGTTAACAATGCTTATATGCAATGGTTCATCTAAAATTCACAGATAATAAGTTTTGAATTTTATCAACCATGTAAATAAAAAACATGTTTTAATGAAAGTTAAACAAAATTGTATACATCTTAGAAAATCTGTCTACAAAGACTTAAAATGAAAAAGACGTATACTTTTCAAAGCTTAACTATATTAATGTTTTGATACGAAACTTCGAAGTCATATCATCCGTAGAATTATGTAGATGATAACAAATTTTTAGTTGTACATGGACGACTAAAACACCCGCATGAGTTCTAATTCATCGCGATGATAGGGAAATTTCTAGATAGTGAATCTCAAGGTGTTAAAGGCTATACAATAATAGGGAACTAGTTTATAAAGAAGATTCTAGAAGAAAAGGAGGGTAGAATAGGAGAGGAAAATGTTTGGTTATCAAATAATTTAGGCCTGTTGGGTAGGGATTAAAATCAAATTTTAATAAAAACTGATAAAATGTATAATTGAAAAATTGTTGGTTTTATAAAATATGTAATTAAAATTAATTGTTGATTTTGATTTAGATTAAAATCTGAATTTTAATTTATATTAAATGGAATTTTAATATCCAACATATGCCAAAGAATTGCAAATGAGGCCTGTTTCGAAATATAATTGAAACTAATAAGTTTGTATTATTTTAAAAGTTTATATTTTTAGATAAAATGATTTAATATATTATTATAGTAACCTGATATTATGAATTTTTCATAAAATATTGTCCATAACAATCAAAAACATTTTCATAATGAATAAATTACCTGGCACAATATACTTTTCAATCACTTGAGAAAATAAATTACATATGTCACACCAATATTTTGACAAACATTTTAAAAATCGAGAAAATAAAGAAAAATAAAATGTAAAAATCAAAATCCAACGTTTGAAAAAATAAATAAATAAATAAAAACCTCATACAGCAATTAAACAAATCACACTAAACAGAACAAATTTATAGATCAACATCACAGAAAACTCTCTCAAATTCACCCTTTGATGAAGAAAACGGAACTCTCAAAGGCCCACATTCGATCTTCAAATGGCGATGAATTTTAAAAACTCCCACTTTCTGCCTGATTTTGCTTCTTATTTTAACATCCAAATCTACTTTCCCTGAATATTTCTTCATTTTCAGATCCCTTGCCACCGCTCCGTAAAGTGTCACATCTCTCGCCGCAAGATCCAAGTCGAGGTAGGTCACGTTATGCCGTCGCTGATAAAAGGGAAGGACATTGTTGATCGACAGCATCTGATCCTCGTACGACACTGTAACCTCAATCCTGTCGTAGTATATCGAAATCCGTTTGTTGGGATTGTTTGCACGTAATACGAAATGGAAATTGGCATTGAGGTGGCCGTTGCTGGTTAAGTTGTAGTCTGAGATTGAGCCTTGTTCGATGGAGTATTTGAGTTTTTTGGGATTAACTGATACCCAAGCAATCAGCACGGCTAGGCCGACCACAACGACGAGAGCAAGCAAAACCATAGCAATGGATCGTACTAGCGGTAAGTGGCGTGGTCGGGTTGCTTGTTGTGGTTGCGGCGGCGGAGGAGCCATGGCGGAGCAACCGAGTGTTTGTGCAGGTCTTGTTATGGATAATCAGGTTGTTTTATGCAGATGAACATATGAGGATGCTGTGACTTGTGAGTACATTGCTTGCATGAAACTCAAGAATATATGGAGGGGTGAGAAAAATTATTTTGCAGAAAAAGGGGAAAATCACAACTAGACATGAATATTCTTAGCTTGCAGAGTTCAAAGAAATCTTCACATTGAAATTTGGTATAAATCTCATGTTCATACATTGGTGGCTTTTCATTTGCTTAATACTCAAGATATTCTAAATCACATCGAACAATTATTCTATTTCTTAATTATATTAAGAGTTTGAGCTTGGTATTGAACATCGCACGCCAATAGGTTATTGAGGGAAAAGAAAATATGGTCTTATATTGATGTGACCATATTTATAAAATTAATACGGAAATTCATTCAAACAATATTATAGTACTTTATTGAGCTACCGGTTCAATCGTTGGGTCATTAGTTGAATCAATATATCACTTATAATTATATTTTTCTTTAATTATTTTCAAATTTACAATGAAATATAAAAAATAATTACATGTAAAGTATAAATATGTAAAAAAAAAATATTACTAATATATTCAAGTTTGAATTTACTCAAAAAATATACGTATAATAATACTCAACAATTATTGTGTAATGCCCAACATTTTAATTCCTACAATCACAAGAATGTAATGCCTAATGATTCTAAATTTTTACAAAGTAATAGAGTTTTTGTTAAAAAATCAAGAGTGCGTTTGATTGCAAGTGTGGAATTTATATATGGGGAAGAAAATAAATTCTAGACAATTCAATTGTCTAAAAAATTTTTTTATAAAATTTATTAATTAAATGTATTTGATTGATTTAGTTTTCCGTCTAGAAAATATTAGACTTATCTATTTTTTATTAATAGGTAGATAAGAGAGAGAAAGAGAGAGTGAATTACCTGGAAAATAAAAACAATCCCTCCCTAAGGAAAATGTTTTCCTTATTTATGAAGGAAATATGATCACATGACCAAATTTGAAAAATATTTTCTATGAAAAAAATTGTCGATTAAGCACCTCAAAAGTATGAATTTATGTGGAAAAATAATAATTTTCATAAAAAATAAAGTTAATCAAACACACTCTAAAAGAAAAGAGTGAACAATACAAAAGAATTGAGAAAGAGTCCAAATTTGCACAATTTATTGATATCCAAAGCCTACTCTATATGTCAAGTATAACTAGAGCTAATTGATACAATTGTGATTCACAAATACTTCCTAATTTACAACAATCTCCCTTAAATTACTAATAACACAATATTGTCTCATTAAAAACTATGTTTGACAAAAACTCAATGAGGCAAAAATATCAAAAGAAGGCAAAAAAATGCAAAAGATTGAATCCACTTTAAAAGTTGCCTCGTTAAAAATCTTATCAACAAAAATCCAACATGACAAAATCTCAATTAAGAAAAAAAAGAGTGCAACACATATTTACTCTTTTCATGCCATATATATGTTGTAATTTTATAATTCGAGTGGACATATCATTATAATAATAAAGTGATAAATAGAGTATTATTATTCCATGAACGCTTGTTACTTAAACCTAGCTCTAATTCGAAAAACACATACACTTATATATTGGGTATCGATTTTAACTATATAATTATCTAAAAAATAATAATTAAAATATAAATAAGCACCCAATTTTTCAAATTAATAAACTCACAAAAGGTATTAATATCTTACTACGTCATAGTAAACCTAGCTACTTTAGCCCTCATTCACGCCTTGATATTCAATTCTTGCCTAAGTTGAAAGTCAATTATCTATCATAATCAATAGCCTCTCTCAAGGTCAATCAATCTTAAACTTATATGTGAAGTTAGTTATTCTAATTAAACTACTACAATATAAATATACATTAATTCACGAAGATTATTGCATTCCGAAATTCATAAAGCGTAATGATATCTCTACCTATATTTTATAAGACCCTAAGTTATTTATTATCACGTACTAATTTACTTCTAATCATTCGAGTGCAATATATATTAATAATGATCAATCATTAATGTCATGGAATAAGGGTAAACAATTAACCATGAAAGAATATTAGTAAAAAAAATAATTAATGAAAGCGTAAACAGAATATTATCAAAACCCTACTCACAAAAGGGTTTTGCTTATCATGATATTATCATAAAAATACTAATGAAAAGTGAAACATAAACCAGATGGACTTTGCTAGACTTACAAAATTTTTCCTCACAGAACACACTTACAGAGAAGACACAATAAAGGGGTGGTTGGATTTTTTTAGGCAATAAAATAATCATATGGGACTCACCCCCATGTGAGACTTCTGTAGCCTTTTTGTGATTTGTTCTTCTGTACACTCAATTTAATTCAAACCAGATAACTCAGAATAAAAAGTTGACACAATTTTGAATCTCTTCAACAATTTCGAACGACTCTTTTCCTTTAAAATCATCATAACGCAACAACAATTTCTTGCATTAATCTTGCTTCATGAATTTGATGTTTATGATATGGAATTTCTCTTTTACGCTCCTCTATTTTTTGGTATTCAATCCCCAATTCTTGACCTAATTTTGATCTTTACAATTTACATAGTCCTCGACATGCCTTGAAATTCGTGACAAAGAAATACTTGAGTTTTCCTTAAAATTTGAATTTAAAAAAATAATAAAAAAAAAATCATAAATTCCCACTTGAGCCCGGTCAACTGCGTTGGCGAGTTGCTTACCGTTACCTTGCTACGACCCTCAAAAAGTTTGCCAATTGATTGCTTGGGTCTCAATTTATTTGGTTTGGTTATTTTTGGGGTTCAATTCAATTTTTCAATCAGCCTTTTGATTTTTCCTTGGTTCATATTACGTGCACATTTTCAGTGTATACAATTCTTTACACCTCTTACATGGAGGTGAGCCTGCACATAATAATTACGTGTGGACCTCCTTCATGTGTGGGGATGTAAGACTTTATGTACATCGAAAAGTGTACGTATAGTCTTATCCTTTTTCCTTTACCCACGTCATGCACCCTGGCACATGACAGGTGCCTCTTAAATATTTTTTGACTGTTCACAAGATAATTGCAAAGACTGTCCCTCAACGTTTCTCTCTCAATTTCGATCCTCAAACTATCTATATCAACAATTTTGGTCCTTCAAATTTCCATCAAGTCCAATTTTTCCCCAATTTTTGTTTTATTCGATTTAGTCCTTAAACTTCACAAAGAATTCATTTTGGCCACCATATTTTATGAATTCTTCCAATTAAATTCCAGTTTTGTCAAATAAAGTCCCAATACTTTCAGCCCCAGTGAAATTCCATCTTTATGTCCAATTAATGTTTCAAATCACTTCCTTTTTACTTAATTAATTTTCAAAGTGGGGACTGAAACCTATACAAATCAAACAGAACACAAAGTGAGTAAAATTTTGCTCGTTTAATAAGCATATAAAACGTATTTATCAAATACTTCCAAACTTAACATTTGCTGGGGACACATGCAAAAATAAAAACAAGACTCATTCAATTAGACATGTCACCAATTAAAAAAAAAAATTTACCGATTTAAAAAAAGAAAAAGAAAAAAGAAATCTAATTTCATCAATAAAACTATTTAGAATAGAATTTTCTAAAATCTAGAGGTACAACCGTCTTAACTTGCTTAGACGTTGAGCAGATTTTGTTTTTTGCAATTTTATAAGTCACACATTAACATTTATTTCTTAACATGTTATTTTAATCTTTTATTTAACTGCTGCTGCTGTCCTCGTTGATGGATTCTCTCCACAAATGCAAATTATTTGATAAATTGTTCACATAGTTGTAGTCTTTCAGCTAATTTCAAACCGATGTTAGAGGGTTCACTTAGTACAAGTTCTATAATATTATATTTTGCTCTCTTATCCTCTTGAAGATGATCCGTTCATTGTTTTTTAATTGAAAAAACAAACTAACTCACAGTAGTTGATCTCTATATGCTACCAATGGCTTTTTTTTTTGTTCTTTCCATTCCTTTTTTTTTTTTTGGTTGCCCTATGACCTTTACATTTTGCCCTTTTAAATGATTCCAATTCGGTGCTTGCAGGGGTGACGACTTCAGTGCACCAGAATTTGATGATATTACAGTTATTATTTGCGATCAGGTATTCTTGTCATGTTCTACGATGAAACAGGCTTTGAAATCAAGTTAAAATGTATTCTGTTTTCCTATATCACAAGCATGCCATGATAAACATTATGGATTTTTTTGTAGTGCGAGAAGGACTATCATGTTGGTTGTCTAAGGAAGCAGAAAATGGATCTAGAACACCATTTACCTTGAAACATACGATGTCTCTTTTTCTCAGGGGTACTTCCAGACGCTCTTTTTCTGTATTGAAAATTTTCTCGCGACCTTGAATGTGAAAAACCTGGTGCTTCCTGCTGCTGATGAAGCCAAATCTTTATGGAGGAATAAGTTTGGTTTCAAAAAGATCAGCACTGAAAAAGTATTTTCATTTTCTTATTAGTGTATTTATTTCACGAGCGATGTGGGAAACTAGAACTAATTATCAATGCTTGTATTCGTGTTTGCTTTTGTAGCTTGATCAGTACAGAAAGTAGTACGAAATGAAGATCTTAAAGGAACGACCGTGTTACATAAATCAGTCTCCAAGTCTTGAAATATCAGACATTTGAAACGATATGAATGATTTTTGTTTTGAAGGTCTTTTCGAAATGTACGGCCTAATTTTGCAAAATTGCATGCCATTCTGTAGTGGCTGCTATCACATATACTTTGTAATGTATTATCTTTTAGATGGATTTCATAGTACATTTTGGAGTTTATGAATCTTGACTTTGAATCTAGTCGATGAGTGTGCCTTTAAGCATTGAGAAGCGAAAATCAACAAAGTATATGATCGAAAATTTTTATTCTAATGGAATACTTAGAATTGACTAAAATGCATCCAAGTTATAATCTTTGGAATCTACCGCATTGTGCAAGTTGGCTAAGGTGAAGTTTTGGCTTAGTCAAGCAAACGTAAAGAACAATGGTGAGTTTTGCTACAGGAACAGGGTTAAAAACAAGATGCACACATGTCGATGCATAATTGGAGGGTTTGAAAATTTGAAAAAAAAAATAGTCAACAACTTGCTGACACATCAGCCTACTTTTATTCCATGTCTTATTGTCTGTTTGTTTATCATCACACAACAATGGTAACGATCAGCGGCTTTGGCTTGTCTATGTTGCCTACACGTGGCTCCTACATGGACGTAAGTAGGAACCCACGTAAGTAGTAATTGTTAGTATTTTACTATTTTTTATTATTTTATTTATTGATAAAAAAATTCATTCTTAATTAAATTTATCGATATTAAAATCTTTTAACCACGAACTAAAAGTTCATGTCTAATCTTAATTAAATTTTTGATCAGTTTGTTAGTGAAAAACTTTGTTCTTATTCTTACATTAGTATTTTAATCGTTATTTTGTAATATATGATTTTTTTACACTGAATATATTTAATTTGTATTTTTATTACTTTATCCAACAATTATTTTTAATCAAATATATTAAACGAAATTTCTTTCAATTATTACCAACAATAATTGTGCTACATAGATTTTGTTGATATAACTTTTAAGAACTGAGGGTGTGTTTGATTGTATTTATCTTCCTTGGAAAATATCAGTTTCCACTCAAATTTCTACTTTGGAGTGTTCGATTGTTATTTTTTTCCATTGAAAATATACCAAATTTTTCTTGTTTTTAAGAAAAATATTTTCTTTGGGGGAGTAGTTTTTTGTTTTTCTCAAAACAAGGAAAAAATATATATATTTTTTATAGGTGATATTTTCCATGCCTTGCCTCCTTAGAAAATATTTTTCTTAAAAACAAGGAAAACTAGGTGTATTTTTAAAGGTTGAAGAAAAAATTCATGAAAAACATGGCAATCAAACACTTCAAAAGTTGAAATTTAGTGCAAAAAAATCATTTTCAAATCAAACGCAACCTAAAGTTTTTTAAGCCTATTTCCCAAAAAATAAAATAAAATTACTTATCTATTTTTCAAAATCATTTTTCAATCACATTCTCCCAATAAACACCAACTCCATATTCTTCAGGTAAATCCCAAAACTTTTTATTTTTTAACCACTCATTCTTCAAAAAAATTACTATTTAAAAATTCATTATTCTCAAATAATGGCATTTAAAGGCCAAATAAGGGCACTTAAAATAATTCGCCAAACTAATCCATCTCTACATGACCGTTATTGACATGTTTCTGATGTGCCTAGGGGTGGGCGCGGGTCGGTTCGGTTCGGTTCTAAAGAGAACCGAACCGAACTGAACTTTTCGGGTATCTAGTAAATGGAACCGTCGGGTCCAAATATAATTATGGAACCGTTCGGGTTCGGTTCGGTTCGGTTCGGTTCGGTTCGGTTCGGTTCTGTACTGTAATTAAATTTTTTAATAGTTATAACAATATTGTATAAATACAACTAATGATACATTCAATGGTTTTGGAATGTCAAAGACTAGGAAACTATTTTGTTCAAATGATAACTACGATCAAAGTTTCGGTTGGCGAAGGTCACAGTTTCGATCGGAGGTCACAGTATCGACCGATAATTGTATAGGTTTGAAATATTAGCGAGGCTGCGAAAGTGAGTGCGAGAGTCGAGACAACGTTACGGACTTTGGTGTTGGTATTAGGGTTATTTAGTGGATTTGATCTTGCTTGGCTAAGAAATGAAACAATAAAATGGGTAATTGGGTCAAAAATTAAAAAATTAGAAATGAAACAAATTATTGAGCCAAAAATTTGGACTTAGAAATCATTAATTTGTTAATTTGTTTAAAAAAATTAAAATAATTTGATTTACTCAATATAAAAAAAATAAATTAGAAAGATTCGGTTCTTATTCGGTTCTTCGGTTCTAGGTCTAGAACCGAGAACCGAACCGTACCCGTCGGTTCTCAATTCAGATACCCGTTCGGGTATTTAATTTGACAAGAACCGTCGGGTTCGGTTCGGTTCGGTTCGGTTCGGGTTCAGTTCGGTCGGTTCGGTTCGGGAGATTTGCCCAGCCCTAGATGTGCCATTAACTAACGCGGGAAAATTTTCAAAATTTGAAATTTAAATTCAACCAAATTAGAACGTTACCGTTTTATCTCCCTATATTCCTTCTATTTCTCTCTCACACAAAGATACTTTCACATTTATGTATTTCTTCAGTATATTCAAAATATATAGAGCACATTTTTGGGCCTTTCTTTCACTCATTTTTAGACGATTTATTTAAGAATCAAGAAATCGTGAAATTTGGACGCGAATACGAAATGGGTCAGATCGAGTACTCAGAAAAATACTTCGACGATACCTATGAGTACAGGTGTTTTTCTAATTTATTTGAATTATTCCTTTTTGCAATTGTTATGTGTCATTTTTTTCATTTTTTTTTTTAGGATAATCTTGCATTTTTTGGTGTAATTTTGGAATTTTCAGGCATGTTGTTCTTCCACCAGAAGTGGCTAAACTGCTTCCCAAGAATCGTTTTCTCTCTGAAGTAAGTTCTTCATAATTACTGTTAAGATTCTTACCATTCTTTTATTTTATTTCAGCGAATTCTGCTTCTTTGTGTTAGTTAATCGAAAAATGAAAATGCCGAGAAGATTAGGGTTTCGTAGTTCTCTGATTTTTTATCTTTTATTTTTTTTTTCTCGAAATTAATACATTCATTAGTAAGCTGTGTTTGATAAATAAATATAAATATAACCGATCGGCTCCGTGTGAATTAATACTTGAAAAATTACTCAATTTTCGATTCGATTGCTGCATCCGATCAAGTTTTTACTATTTTCTTCGAAACTCAATAGAGGAACAGAGCAAACTAGAAATTATATCGTCCTAACTTGCATAGCATTTGTGGTTGTATATGTAAAACATTAAATCAAGCTTTTATATGAATGTCTCTATTATCTTCATTCAAGTAAATCTTAGAAGCGGGTTTTTGTAAATTTGGGCATCTTAATGTGGCTTGATTTTGTTATTTTTAGAATGAATGGCGTGCGATTGGGGTTCAGCAGAGTCGTGGGTGGGTCCATTATGCAGTTCACCGTCCGGAGCCACACATCATGCTCTTCAGGAGGCCACTGAACTCTCAGCAGCAGCAGGAGAAACAAGCTCAACAAATTCTTGCCAAGTGAATAATCATTCCTCTGGTTTTCCCTCTTACTGAAATCCTCATTTCTAGAAATGAACCTACTATAAGATTTTAAGCTATTATGAAATTGTGTTCTCTCGGTTTAGGATCAAGCGTTGAAAGTCTGTTTCAATGATTTCGAGCTCGATAGTAGTTTAAATTTACTGTTAGTACATATGTTTTCTTGAATGTTCCAATTTCATTTCGCAAGTATCAAAGGGTTATGACTGATTTTTATTGTTTTATCTTTATATACAAAGTATCTTATGTTTCATGCCAAAGATTTTGCATAATTGCCTCTTTGTCTAAATCATTCCCATTTAGCCAAGAAAATATGATTAATTTTACTGGTTTGTCATTTTGTTGTCTTGTAATTGGAGAATCTCATATGATCTTTGGTGTTGATTCTGTTAATGATCAGTGATTAGGAACATTTTTTGAATTTGCAATTCGATTGTCGAACTCATTAAACTGTACCTTGGGGAAATTTTGGAACTTTTTGGCATCCCACCATGTTATTGAGGTTCATGTCTCAAGTTTAGTTTCAGTGTTTGCTTGTGAGGGGATTGAGGAATATGTGCTTTGATGGTTCATAATGCGTATGCTAAATCATTTTAGATTAGATCATATTGATGAGGTCTTTGAAGTCATTTTTCACTTTCAATTTATGCAGACGTGATTAGATATATCTTGTTTAACTTAACCTATATTAGGCTCATGTTTATAAACGGTGTATAATGCTCAATTCATATTTTTGCTACACATTTTAAAGGATCTAAAAGGACTTCTTAACTTATACATCACTCATTTATGTTGGTTTATAATTTAAATAAGAATGTACTAAAGTAAATTTTGTGGTGGTGGTGACTTTCTAGTAATGACGTGGGTGCTTTTGGTTTTGGTTGGGGTGGCGTGTTTGGAAAAGAAAATAACTTTTTCTTTTATTTATTTATTAGTTTTATTTAATGATTTAGATTGTTTAACGTAAAAAATATTAAGTTATTATCTTTCCCTATTTTAAATTATTTTAAAATTTGGTCATAGTCAAATTCTTTGATCAACTAACGGATATATGGATGGAAACTGTTCATATATCTTTTCGCAACATAGCAAATGAAAGGTTTCAATATAATCTACAAAAAATGAAATGTTTGAAATCGTAGCTTCAATTATTGCTTATTATTCATCGGTTGCAACCTTTTAAACTAGTTGTCTTCTAGCCTACCTAGCCTAGGACGTTTTAATTATTCTTGAAGATATTTTAAACAACACCCCAAGTTCTAAAAAGTAGGGAAAAAAAGAATGGAGAAGAAAAAACAAAACTCAAGTTCTAAAAATTAGGGGGAAAAATGAATGGAGTAGTCCTTAAAAAGACATGCTATCCACTTCCATGTTTTCAAGGTTTCTTCAACATGTTAGTTAGGTTCGCCATACTATGTTTGTTGCTATATACAATGAGTTTTTGTGGATTGTATGTATAGCCATGCTACATGTACAAGCACATCGTAGACATCCAATAATAAAAATGAATATTTAGCAATGTCAATGTTTACAAATATCACGTGCAGATTCTCAATCACAAGCACGTGAAATGTATTAATCAAAATTTACTAAACTTTAGATTTGTAATTGGAAGTGGCGATGAGTTGAACTAAATGAGAAATAGGGTTCATGCAGTCATGTTTAATTTAATTTAATTTTTTTTATTTCAATTTTATTGTAAAATAAGTACTGAATTGTTGTTTCTATCAATTACATGATGCCTTGTCTCAAGAATGTGCATAGTAATGGCATCAAACACCCCATTTTATGTGTACATATTTCTTGAATGATTATTTTGTTTATATTTATGCATATTTGCTATTTAATTGGAAAGTCTAAATATTTCACAACCAACCAATTGTCAAGTTGAAAGGTAGCCACCTCAAATATGCATATACGGAGTTGTCTACATGATGCTATTGGGTTGGAATGAGCTAATAAAATAGCCCATACTTGGCCAATTTTTTCTACACATTTTGAAGGATCTACAAGGACTTCTAACTTACACATCACTCATTTATGTTTGTTTATAATTCAAATCATTCGTAAAAATTTACTAAAATAAATTCCTTATCTATTGTATATTCTATTCAGTATGTTGTATAATGGGAGTCGTCTAGCCTTTCATGCAAGATTAGCTCACATTTCGAGTGTCAATTCTGTCTGCACTTTTAACCTTAGGAACAGTTGAGGTGTGGGCTTATTTTTCTGGCTCTATCTAAGCTATTTATTACTATTTAGGGATAATTGTAGTCGTGGTCCCAAACCTTTCAATTTCTTGCACTCTACACAAACTCTTTATCTCAAACCTTTAATAAAATAAAATTGATATATCACCATACCAAAACCTACCACCGCTTGCCAACTTCACCTCCACCTCCACCTCTTCCTCCATCCTACAGCACCATGCCTCGCTAGTCAACAAACACCAACGCCAAGCCCATTAACAACCTCCAAAACAGTAGATTTGTGGTTCCCAAAACAAACTATCATCGCTGCAAACCTTCGTGTATCAAAAAGTGAAGGATACTAAGCACCGGTTTCACTGTGACAAATCTGTGAGTTTGAGGCTGGGATTCACTTGAAAAAACTCGAAGTTTTCACTTTAATAATCCAAATCTTTAAAAAAAACCAAATAGAAGAGTGAAGAGATCTTAGAAATCAAATTATTAGCCTGTTTGATACTCGTTAAAAAGAGTTTTTTTTGGGGGGGGGGGGGGGGGGGGGGTGGG